AACTTGAAAACACAAAAATGCTTGGAGTCAAACCAAAAATAGAGTTACCCTGTGATCCAGAAGTTCCACTCCTGGGCATGTATCCAAAGGGAACTCTAATTTGAAAAGATACATGCACCCCAATGTTCATAGCAGCACTACTTACAATAAACAAGACATGGAAACAACCTAAATGTCCATCGACAGATGACTGGATAAAGAAGTTTTGGTATATTTATACAATGGAATATTATGCGGCCATAAAAAAGAATAAAATAATGTCATTTGCAGCATCAACAAAGGACTTGTTTTTGTTATTTTCTCCATTAGCTTTTTTTTTTTTGGTATTCATTCCTGTTTGATATATATTAGTGGTAAAATGCTTATAAGATCTGCCATATGTGAATCTTGGTAAAAATAAAATATGGGTGGTCATAAAGTCTGGAAATACTGACAATATTTTTTTAAAATAAATTGAACCCCCTTGACTGTTTCATTGAGGGTAAAGTTGCCACAGGTGGAGAGGAGGGCATCCCAGCAAACCTTAGTAACCAGATCGTGTACCTGTTTGGGAAATGCAGCTGTTCACTTGGCCAGAGGCAGAGGCACAATCATAAAGACTGATCCTGTTCCACGAATGATTATGAACCTGATGGACCTCAAAGGTGCTAGGGTCATTGTGGAGCTTCTGGAACATCCGGGTCTGGATGCTCCCTACTGAGTCCGTGGTGTCAGCATGGCAGAAAGTGTAGCTGTATATATTTGGGAATGCTTCCAGAACACTGCCTGTGGAAGTTCTTTATAAAATGTGTGAAACTGAAAACAGGATTGTAACCTATCAAAAGGAACAGCTTTCGCAGGTTAATATTGTAGACTGACTACTTTTTCTCTACCCCCTCCCACCTTTTTTTTTGTCCACTTGGAAAAAAGCTTTGCCCCTTGGAGTATTCATAAATCATCACATCATTGCTGCCCTCCACATTTTGTTCTAGAATACTTGGCTTATTATAATCAGTGTGAGAACTGTTTTAAATATAAGTCAGTTTCAAACCCAAACATAATACGTCCTGAATATCATGCAGACAGCCCTTTTATCTGTAGATTAAAAATCAGTTCACTTCCAGCAAAATGTTCTCATGAGAAAGATGTCAAAGACAAAGGACTTGTTTTTCTTAATTTTCTCTGTTAGTTTGTTTTTGGGGATTCATTTCTGTTTGGTATATATTAATGGTAAAATGTTTATAAGATTTGCTGTATGTGAATCTTGGTAAAAATAAAATACGGGTGGCCATAAAGTCTGGAAATATTGACAATGTTTTTTTTAATAAGTTGAACCCCCTTGATTGTTTCATTTAGGGTAAAGGTGCAAGCTTATGCCATGGAAATTGGACACACACATCGTTGGAGGGAACATATGACAGAGACATGTGCAATGGCTGATGGGAATGGTGCTTTAATGCACATTGTTCATTGCAGTTTTTCACAGCTTATTGAGCTATAAATTGCTAGTGAGGGACAACACATTCACATGTCATAAAAATAAACTGTTTATTATGGCGTTTGTCTATGTTTTTGGACTTCATGGCTACCCCGTACAACTTTAATTCAAAGGACTGGATAATAATCCCTCAGTTGAATACTGTTCTAATTCTGTTAAAATAGTTGACTTGAAAAGAATATACTACTCTTTATAAAGCATTTCTTGTATAAAGTTTTTCCTCATTGGTCCCATTTTTTGATGATCATGAAACTTACCTGCATAAGTTGCACTACAAAAAACAAAAACAAACAAACAAACAAAAAAGATGGGATACTATAGGACATCCTGGACCAATTTCCATCATTTTGTGATTCAATGATATTGTGAGGGAGTAAAGTAGAAAATTAGTTATAAATTTGTAAATTATGAAGAATAGAAAAAGGGAATTTTTAAATTGAAATTGACAATGCAATTCTCTTAGCGGAGGGACTGCAACCCTTTCATTCTGATGGGTAACCTGAGAGGCTCCACCAATGACACAAGCTTGACAACTAATGTTGCAGTTGATTTTAACAAGACAAGGAAAACTAGTTGCTTATGAGCAATGAGAAATGTACATAGCATCACTGAAATATACTCTTTGGTCCTTTTTTAAGCCTTATAATGAATATGAAATGGAGCCCCATTGTTTGAGTCTTGGAAAATGTCTGTTTTAAAATAATTATTTAAAAAATGAATCCTCCTAAATAGTCTATCAGTTCAGTTGGCTGAACATTAGGACTCCATCACATCTTGGAAACAGGTATAATACCATTGGAGGGCATTGCCCCATTTTAAGAAAAAAAAATTAAGTATAATTTTGCCAGAGGACAAAAAAACTGAATACTGTCAGATATAGGACTCATTTGTGAAAAATAACTTCACATGATTGTTAGCCTGTTTCATTTAAAAGTAAAACAAGCCCACAAACCTGACACAAGTTGTCATGTACAAAATAGTTCCAGTGGCGTGGCCCCCGGCGGGTGAGTGAGACGCCACAGGCCTTTCTGTTGGTTTATTTTACTCCTGGAGCCCATTGGCTGCAGGCTTTTGCCTTGCTTCCAAAATAAAGAAACCCACCCTCTGGAGTTCAGACCTTGTCCCCAATGAAATTTTTTTAGAAATCTGACAATGACACCATTGGCCTGGAAGATGACTGAGACTGGATAAATAAAGTATTTTCTCTCATTGAAGGTTGGCAGCATTTATTCACATTGAAAATCTGTGATTCTCTAAGCTAGGGGTCAGAGCTCAAGCTAACAACAACCCATGGAGGAAAGAAATTTGCAGGGCTACATGTGGCGTGTGTAATTCCCGTTTAGAGGCAGCGACGTTACAAAAGGACCAAAATTCATGAGTACTTCTCCAAGCAGAGACCACCATTTGGGGCAACACTGACAAGGTCTGGGAGTCTGGGAGTCCTTGGGGAGGAGAGGCAGCCCCTGGTCCTTCCCCTGTGCTGCCCATTTGTTAATAAGTGGCATCAGGTCCACCAGAAAGGCTGACAATGGGTGGCGACTCAGATCCTAAAGCCTGCCTGTGAGGCCTGTGTTCAGGGTCTCTGAGGAGGGTCTCTGTGGGGTGCCCTGTCGGAGATCTCTGGCTGGGATTTCTCCGTGTGGGTCTCTGTCAGAAGCCTCTGTGTGGGGACCCCTAGTGGGGGGCCTCCATTGCTGGCCTTACTGCACTTTACGCAGGACAAGGGCAGAGGGACTTGCCCCTTCCTGTTTCTTGCTGTTCTAACAGTGTCGCCTCCATGTGGCTTCTCCCCACAGGAGCCTTGGGGTACCCCCACCCCAGGACTCACCTGTTGTTAGCCCTGAGAGGATGCAGTGGCAGCCAGGCTCAGGGTCCCCACTTTGTGCCACCCTCCCCTGAGCTCCCGAGGGCCCTCTGTTGGCCTGGGTCCCAGCCCCTCCCACTGGTCCTGAGCCCACCCTGCAGGATGGGGCTCGAGGCGGGACCTGGCTCCAGGGAGAAACCACAGTCCTGTGCCTGCTCCCCCCTCCCCTCTGGGTCCTGGTCCCATGACTGGTCTTGACTGGCGTGGAGGCAAGGCCATCCCTGCTGTCACCTGGATGAGGGGCCCCTCCTGGAGCAGGGCTGTTCATCGCAGGAGTGACTGATATGAAGCATCAATCACTCTGGAGCACTGCTCCCCATCTCCCAGCTTCCGTGTGGCCGGGCCGGGGAGGAAGGCCGGACGGCACCCCAGTCCCCACAGGTCACTTCCGCCCGCTGTGTGACAGGTCCTGTCTGCTGGCCTCTTCCCACTCTGGGCTCTGAGGTAAGCAAGGCTGAGAGCCACGTGAGACTTGCTAGGACCCCGGGACAGTCTCCGGGCCTTTTAAGTCCTGTCTGTCCCCTGGGAGCCTCCTTGGGCCCCGTGTGTAAGTAAAGGCCGCGGACTGCCAGTCTGTCCCGAGCTCCCTGTCCTGTGAGAGCTTATTACATACTCTGTGGAGAAGCGAACTTTCCTGCTTTAGGCTTTGCTGCCTCTGTGAGCCTGGCCCTCCGAGTAGGAGCTGCAGGTGGCTGCCCTCTGTCTGGGCTCAGGGAGCTGAAGGAGGGTGGACACTCTGGGGTGAGCCCCCCAGCCCCATCTTCTCCCCTCTGGGCCTGTAGATGGTGGTGGGACGCGGGGGGCTCCTTGGTCACTGCAGCATTTACAAGCACCCTGCGCCACCTGCCTCCGCCCCCTCCACCCCGCCTCCCCGGGTGCCCAGTGTCCCACCGTCAGGCGGCGAGGTGACTGCACAGAGTCACGGCCTGGGAGGGGAGGTGGGCGCTGTGGGCAGGGCTGCTCCCTCCTCTGGGGCAGGCTGGACAGGCCCTCGGGGGTCTCGGGGCGCCCGCCGCACACGCCCAGAGCTGGGGGAGCCGCGCTCCTCGTGCTCGCCACTGCTCCAGGTCCCGAGAAACGCAGAGGGAGGGGCGGCTCCCGGCCCACCTCAACCCAGCTTCAGGGCGGGGAGGGCTCAGGGCAGGTGTCACCTCTTCCCACCAAGACATGACGGGGGTGGGGGGCAAGGTTTCTCCCAGCTCTGGACGTGGGGACAGTGCTGCCCCTGACTCCCTTCCTTAATCGGCCACATGAACTTGTCTCTGACACTTTCTGGAGACTGAGGGGAATTTCAGCCTCTGCAAAGCCCTCCCCTCGAGCTGCACAAGTTCAAGGTAGAGAGCATGCGGGGGAGCAAGGCTGAGCCAGGTCCTGGGAGAGGGGAGGGCTTTAGGCCTTGTTCTCCGTGACAGGCCCTGTATGCTTCCATTTGTTTCTGTAACGCTGCTAGTTGTGGGACTTTAAGGAGCAATGAGGGAATTGGGGCGAGGGTGAGAATTCCACGCTGGGGTCAGCCTGCCTCCATTGCCCCGTCGTCCCTTCTGGAAGCCAAGTGCCTGGACACTTCTCCCCAGCAGGACACAGACAGATGCCACACCTCTCATGGGAAAAACACATATGTTTGGGGGAAACAATAAAAATTGTGGTAGGAAGAAGCCATTAGCACAAAGGGGATGTGCTAACCTGAGAGAAAAAAGCTCTCTGCATGGTGTAGGTTGTTCCCGGGAGAAGAGTCGCCCTCCTGGGAAGGACGTAGGGAGTGTACCGCGACGGCGCAGGAGAGGCGCAGTTCCGAAGGAGACAGTGCCTCGGACAGTGGGCGGGGTGGCCGGGGATGCCTGCCGCTCCCGGCCCGTGCTGGCCGCGTCTGCCTGGGGGCCCTGGCTCCTCGGGCGGGAAGGCCCACTTGCCGTCTCTGTGGCTGGGACTGGCCCGCCTACTCCTGCCATGACAGCTGTGGCCCTTGCGGGTAGCTCGGGGATCGCAGGGCTTCTCTCTCATCACTCTCCTGTGCTCTTGGTAGGAGACAACCCTGTGGTAGCAGTAACGCTGCCCCGCTGGGGCCTGGGGGTCTCCTTCGTGCCAATTTAACTCTGAGGCATAAGGTCCGTGTCCAGGGTGAAGGGCCAGTTTCTCCTCGAGGATCTGCCCCACAGCCGTTATGAGAGCCTCCGCCTCGGCGACCGTGCTGTCTGTAAACGGTCGGCTTTGGGCAGGGTCTGGGCTCCGGGCAGTGGCTGAAGCGGGTTTGCCTTTTTGCAGGGGGTTTTTGGGTCCTCTGTCTTTACTGGGGGAAACCCACTGGAGAAAGAGCTTCATGTATTTCCTGAAGGAGCTTTCCAACTGAGCCCGTCCCTTCCTCAGCGTCAGCTGGCGGGCCTCGCTTCTTTGGGAGTCTGCTGGTTCCTTTTTCCGGCTGGGGCGGCTTAGCCCCCGGGCCTGGCGGGCCTTGCGCTCCGCCAGCCCTTTTTTGTGCTGTCCTGGCCTGGGCCTCCTAGCATTCTCTCGCGCATCAGTGGGGCCAGACTTCTTCCTCTGGCTCTTTGATGGGGCCTGCTGTCCCCAGGGCTCCTGTGGTCCCCAACTGCTCCCTCCACTGGAGCTCAGGTCATAGAGCGCCTGGGAAACTGACATGTCCCCACTGGACAAGGACTGGGAATGAGACAGAGATGCCTCAGCAGCCAAGATGTCTGCGGCAAGGTACATATCTGAGTGACAGTCTTGAAGAAGGGTGCTGGTGGCACAGTCTTGCAGGAGCACCCCAGTTTCACAGTCCTGAAGGAGCACTCTCATGCGCTGTTGCTCTGGTTTTGCGAACCTTTGGCCCTCAAGCTTCCGAAGCTGTGCGTCCGAGTATACATCTTCTGGAGTTAGTTCCACGGACTGTGCACTCGATGAAAGGCTTTTTATGGACCTGGGAGACCAGGACCCCTTCTGATCCACATTCATGGTTTGGGACCTAATCATCATACCAGGGTCCAAAATACTTTTCCAAGCAGGGTCTGTGTCTTGGGCCTTGGAAGACCGGGGCCATGCGTTCAGGTCCACTGCTGTTACGCTACTGCAGGAGTCTGATGAGGCCCGTCCCCCAGTCTCTTCCCTTGGCTTATCCCTGGCCACTGATGGACTCGGACTGGGCTGTTGCAGGCTGCCTTTCTCAGCCCCCATGACAGACTCATTGTGCCAGATTCTGCCTATAAACTTGTATGTGACAGGCTGAGAAGGTGACTTGTCCCCCTGTCCAATCAGAGAGGCCTCAGGGGGCTCATGGACATTGCCAGGTGGGCTCCCTCCCAGGTCCCCTGGAAGTTTCTCACAGGGACATGAAGGGGCAAGGAGGGGACTCAGCAGGGTGGAAGCTGACTCTGTGGTTCTGACGTTCTCTTCCAGTTGGGGCTGAGGCGGCTTTTCCAAGACCTCGGTTGGCTGGGGTTTTGAGAGGTCCCCAGATTCACAGGTGACTTCCACGGTGGAGCTGGGAACAGCCATGGGGTGAGCTTTTTTCAACTTAAAGAGACTTAGGAACTTGAGGGCCTTGCGTAGTAAACTCCAACTGTGCTTCCTCCGAAACCTGATGATATGTGCTTCCAGCACCTGCTGAATGCATCGACTAGGGACCAGAGACTCACGGGAGGTGTTCATGCAGGGTTCCCAATCCTGGGGGGGTTCTGGACTTCCTGCTCCCTTATGAGAATTTGACTCTTCAGGAAGGTCTAAGACAGGGTTGGCGACAGGCCTTGAACAATGTACATTCATACGGATGGGACCCTCGTGGGTCTGCTCTGCCATCCTGCCCAAAAGGACTCCCAAGACATTTTCTGGGTGCTTCCTGCCTAGGCTCAAGTCTCTGTTTGACTCAGTCTTCATGCTCAAGTGACTTTTTAACTCAGTCTTCATGCTTGGAGCCTTCGGTGAGTGGCTGGCTGAGGTCACATATATATCTTTTAGGATCCTTCCCACACTATGGCCTACATCATTGTACAGGCCCTTCCCTGGTGGGGCCCTTGTGGGGTAGCTGGACCCCATCTTCTGTGCATCACAGCTCCCCTGGCCTATAAACGCAGAGGGCTTTGAGGGACCCATCGTGCCCTGTGCCTGGCAAGGCCCTGGGAATGTGCCCTGAGGCTCCACCAGTTTCTGAGACACCTGGCTTCTGAAGGGCGGTGTGCTCTGTTGTGGCGTGAACCTTTGCTGGAGGTGTTGCTCCAGTTTCTCCCGAACCCCAGGGCTGATGAAATTCCTGGGAGGGACGGAGGAGGCGCTGTGGGCCTGGGAGGCCCTGCTGCCCTGGGGGAGGCGGAGAGGGGCTTGGCTAGAGACTTGCTGGGACTTTCTAACCACAGAGGGTAGATTCTTCTCCCTTTCTAGTTGCTTTTTCAAAAAGTGACTTTCCAGATTTTGCACTGCAGTTGAGGTGAAAGGTTGTGCCTTATTTGGGACTGCAGGGCAAGCTACATCACAGTACCTACCCTGGGGCTGAGAAGAAGGTGGTAGGGTTGGGAAAGAGGGTATGCAGTGGGCCATCTCAAACCGAGCCAGAGGTGGAGGTTGGAAATCGGGCCTGGTTGGTGTCAAGAGGTGGGGTCGGGCCTGGGTCTCCGCCTGAGCCAGAGGTGGGGGCTGACTTTGGGGCCTGGTTGGGGTCAAGGGTTGTGGTTGGGCCTGGGCTGGAGGGGAGGGCAAAGGCTGAGCCAGTGAGAGAAGTGAAGTGACTTTAGCTTGATTTTGGAGTGGTTTGGCATTAGAGGGTTCATTGAATATGACAGACGGTAACTTTGGAGAGGAATCAGCAACTATGACAGGAGCCACCAGAGACTCACTGTGCAGAAAGGGGAGACCCCAGAAGAGCTGGCTGCATGTCTGCTGTAGCTGGGCCCCCTGAGTGCGGAGATATGCGGCCTTCTCAGGACCAAGCAGCTCCGCTGGTTGGCCTTTTATGCTCCAGAAGTGTTGGCGATGCCTGGGGTCCAGGGACTTGAACGTATTCGCCGATGAATCCAGGTGGTAGCCTGGTCCCTGCTCCTTTCCCTTCTCCTTCTGAATCTTCAGTCCTGCCCTCTTGGTGATTAGCACCTCCAGCAGCTTCTGGACATCTGGGGTGACGAAGGGCAGGCCACTAGCCTTTACCTGTCTGCCTGTGGGGTCTTCCCAGAACGGGGCCTCCGGTGGGTGACGAGACAGGAGCCCTTGCTGGGACTCAGAGCGTGTCACGGTGAAGACCCTCCAGGCTTTGGAAGCCACTTGGCACCAAGGCAGCTCTGGAACGGGACAGCTGGAGCCGTCGAGGCCTGAGATGCCTGGTGCCCACGTGATGCGTGGAGACGAGCTGCGTGGGGTGGTGCCCCGTGGGAGTGCCAGCGGGTCACGCTGAGGTCTTGGAGTGGAGTCTGGCAGCAGTGGGGCAGAGGGGGCTGTCAGAGGGGTCGAGCAGGCCCTGGCATCAGGAGGAGATGGGGGCAAAGGGGAAAGAGCAAGTGGCCGGGATGAAAGGCTGTCCAGGCAAAGGAAAGGCTCTGGTGATGGACAAGCACTTGAGGGCAAATCCAAATGAATGGAAACTGGCACGATCACTGAGTCTGGCAAAGGGGCGGAGGCCAGAGGTGGAAGGTGCTTGGTGAGAGGAGCTGGGAACATGGTGGAAATGCCCTCTTCCCTGCACGGCTGCTGGGCTCCAGCAGGCTCTGCTGTGCACACCTTGTCAGGTGGCTCTTGGCAGTAGAGATGTTGAAAGCCGCCCTTGTCAAGGAACCTCCCCAGGTGGCTGCAGGAGACAGGAGGCACAGGCTGCAGCCAGGAGCTGGCAGGGCCAGGACGGCTGGGCAGACCAGGTAGGGGTGGGCATTTGTGGCCCATGGCCCTCTACAGTCCTGGTGACGACTTCATAATGCTCCTGCTGTCCTTCCCTACCCCCAGGGCTTTAGCCATCCCCCATCCCCAGGGCTCCCCCCCCCAGGTCAGCCCCAAGCTGCCTGCAGCCCTGGGGTCACCCCATAGGTTCTGGGAGGAAGGAGAACCTGGGAGAGGAGGGGAAATTACCTTTGCAGAAGTAAAACCAGGTTCTGAACCTCTTCCAGCTTTTCCTGACAGACTCTGTAAGCTGGAAATCAGGAGACTGGGTCATGGAGTGAAGGTGGGAGCCTAGGGGCCTCACAGCAGGCTCAGTGCCATGTCCCTCTCTAGGGGACATCACTGGGAGGCTGGAGCCCAAGCACCAGCACCCAAGGCTGCCTGGTCCCTGACAGTGATGGAGAAAGCTCACGAATGGGTTTATCATTTACAAAGAGCTTCCACATCCATCCCCCCCGCGGCCCTGACAACCCCCTGTGGGGGCTAAAGGGCAGGGGTCACCTCACAGAGGAATCTGAGCAAAGTTAAACAGCACAGTTACACCTGGAGGTCCCACCTCCCAGCCCAGGCACTGCTGGTCCCCAGCAGCCCACACGCCCGCGGCCCACACCCTTTCCCAGGCCCCTCACAGCTTCGTTCTGAGCATGGACTCTGGAAAGTATCTGGGTTCTGCTCTCCTTCCCAGGAGCCGCCCTGAGGGTTTGGTTTCTGAGGGACAAACTCTACCACTGGCATCCTCGTCCTTGGAGACCGTGGAGCTGGGCCCTCAGGGCTGGGGGGTGGGGGCTGGCTCTCGGGCACATGGGGCTGAATGGAGCTTACCTTCCAAAGCTCCATTTCTCTTCCGACTCCTGCCCCTGCCTTTCGGTGGATGCTGAGAGACAAGGGGGAACAAGGGGCTGGGGCCTGGCTCTCACTCTGCCCTCTCCCGGCAGGCGTCAGACTCCCGTGTCCACGCACAGCACAGCTTTCTGCATCTAACGGGGCTCTGTGGGCTTTCTTCCCTTTCCCTCTTTTTTAAAGTGGATAAAAGTATTTTCGGTTTTCCTTCATCGGAGAACATGAAGGATTTTCCACGCGAGACCCACCCCGGATTTCTTCCGTCACATTTCCTTTGCTCAGGAAGCACGCACTTGCAGACCTGCAGGTGCGTCTGGGCTCCGTCAGGTGGGCCTTGCTTCCCGAGGCCAGGGACCCCCGGAGCCCCAGTCGGAGGCTCTGGGGGCCTCAGCACTGCCCTCAGATCAGCCCTGACCGGGGAAAGTCTTGTCCCAGACACCTGTTCATGGCCAGTGAGCCAGGGCTCAGGGGCCTGACCTCTGGCTGAGGCTGAACTCCCAGCATCCAGTCCTCGGCCACCGGTCACTGTGTTTGGGACTTGCCCTGGAGCCCTCTACCCTCCCTGGATGACTGGCCTGAGCTCTCTGGCTAGAAATCCTAGTGCCCAGTCCAGCCCCTGCCCAGCCTGGCTTGTCCCTGAGGGCTGCTGTTCTGTTCTTCCCCGAGAATAGATGTCCTAGTCTTTCCCATCTCAGGAGGCTCTCTCCTTGATCACAAAAGTGGAAATAATAGTAGGAAAAAAGAAAGATAATCATGTGCTTTTGGGGCCGAGCCAAGTGTTCCTTACCTTACTGAAGCTTCCATGCTTCCTAGGAGGTGGTGCGGGTGGACCATCCTGGAAGCAGGAAATTATTAGGAAGAAGAGCCCCAGTCCGCACAGGATGCCCAAGATGAGGTCAGGCACCCGAAACGTGCAGCTGGAGCTCAGGAACGTGTCCAAAGTGCTTTTCAGAGAAAAGAGATAATTCTCCATCGTCTGAATCACACTGCTGCCCTTAGGCAACTGAGCACAGCGGGTGTATGTAGGGACTAAAGTCCTAGGCCCGCATCACAGCTGTGGTCTTGTCACAAAGGGCTCCTGAGCTGGGGAGGAGCTGGACCACACCCCAACCACCCAGCCTGGCAGCTCCACTCATCCATCCTTCTGAGCCATCCAACACCACCTTCTCACCCTGAGGCAGGCGTTAGCCAGTTTTCTTTTAATTCCACCTGGAACCCAGGTAACAATGGATTCCTTTAAGATCTCTACTTGAATTTCATTCATAGCTCTTAAAAATCTGGAGTTGTCCCTGGAATTTTGGTTAATTCTCGGGAATCTTTACTCAGGATGGCCTTGTCTGTAACTCCACATTTTCCACATAGTCTGTTTGTGCCCTGCATCAACCCAGACATAGAACTTAAACTTCTTTCATTCTTCTTGAGCCATGTGACTTTTGAAAACTTTCAAAAATTTTTAAAAGTTTCAGCTAATCCTCACTATATTGAGCTACAGGGACTTAAAACTTAGTAAGTATTCAAAATGTATAGAGCTAGAGAATTATAAAGCAAATTCAAATAGTTAAACCTTCAAAGTATATTTTTCATAAATTTCTAACATCTTTGCTTCTGAGTCTTGGAAACTAATAATAGCATTGTAAATTTATAAGATCATTTTAATAGAAAAAAGAGAATATAATTACTTTAATCATAATATTTCTGATAGTAGGGTGAGAAGGGGCGTGTCCTATTGTGGTGAACAATATAGCATGTTAGATTTCTTTTTGATCATTTTTTTCCGAGGTAAAATAAATTATTATTTAAAATTTGTAAACTCACATACTGTTTTGTTTCAAGATAGATTAAAATCTCCTCCTAGTCTTGAAGCGTTGGCCTTTCATAGGAGATGAAACTTGCTCTTCAACCCTGCCCGAGCTCTCGGTTTTCTCTCAAATCTCTGTGATTGTTCAAATAGCCTGCTCTATTTTTAATAGTTCTCAACAGCTGAGGCTGTGCCAAGACCTGCCAGTGTCCGCAGGGGAGAGTCTCAGCCAGGACCCACACTTAGGCTGCTTAGACATCTGACCCCCAGGCAGCAGCATTTGAAGAATGCAGATGTGTCCAGTCCTGTGGGACTGTCTGCACACGCTCTGCTGGCCACCAGTGCCACTGAGCTGCAGGCATCTTCCCAGCAGCAGCCACAAAACTCAAGGCCCCAGAAAAGTGTGTGAGCTTGTTTCCGGGAGATGCTGGCCAGCTGTTGTGAGGCAGAGGGAGAATGCCGATATGGCGTCCAGTGATCAACATTCCCTGAGATCAGCTCTGCAGACCCTTAAGTGTCTGCCAAACTTGAAGCTTCTCCCTCAGGCCGAAGCTCCTGGACCAGCAAATAGGCCTCTTTCAAAGAAAGACTGGGGCATCTTTTAGTCTGCTGTCTGGGCAATGCCCTGGGGGCAGTAGCCTGCTGAAGTGTCTCTCTGACTGAGACCCAGGAATGCAAGCCCCGCCTTGTCTCCAGAGCCAGGTGGTCAAGGGCTTCCCTGAGCCTAGCTGCAGAAAGAGGGCCCCAGATGCCTATAAAAGCTTCCCTCTGGTGGACACTGGTGCTCTGGAGGTGGCAGAGGAGGCACACAAACGTGCTGCCTGCTGCCTGCAGCAAGGCGGGAGTGCCGTGTGAAGATGGTCCCCAACAGAAACAGAAAAAAACCAGACAGCACCTGTTGTCTAGAGCAAGGCTGAGGGAGAGCACAAAGCTGCTGTGCCCCCAGTCCCCATCCCCAAGGGTCCCAGCAGGCTCTGAGATGTGCGTATGAGATGGTTGCTCCTCGGGCCGATGCTGTAATACATGCAAATGAGTCTCTTTCACTTACAGACCGAGCACCACGGGCCACCCCTGCCCTGGGCCCTTGGACAGACGTGTCCAGTGGATGTGCTCTGTAAGAGCTGCTTCTCAGCTCACTACAGTCCTGGGGTCTTACAGATGCAATATCCCCAGTGGTTTTCAAAGCTGGAAATTTTGGGCACTCATTTCTCAGATGCGGGTCTTAAAAGTTGGGGTGCCTGATGTGGGGTTCACACCCTTCACTCCTCCGGGAGAATCTCCTAGTTTTGGGTTTTCCCCAATTATGTGTTGCAGTGCCTGGGGTGGAATTTATCATGATATTTGCTCCTTCTCCTAACTGCTCATCTGTAATTGCTGAACCTGAGGTCACTTTGTTTCTTTCCTCTGATATGACTGATTAGGTCCCAGATATTCATGGTCCTATGAAATACTGTCCAGTGGGCCTGGACGCATAACTGTGGCCTCTCCTGACGTGACAACAATGGACTCTTTGCTTGTCCCCAATCTGCCGGAGGCCTGGAGGAGCCCGGCCTCACCTGACACCTGGCAAGTGCCTGCTCAGGTGAGTTTCACTCACTCTGAATCCTGGGGCAGAAAGTTCTAGGTCCCCCATCTCTTTTTCTGTGAAGTCCAAGGCTGTAAGCAGGAGGCGAGGACACCACTCACCTAGCAGTTTTGCATGTTTTAGAAATACCTGCCTTTTTAACCTGCAAATGCTCAGAAACAAGACAGTGTAAACAGATTTGTTCTCATGATGGTGACGTATGTGTGGCCATTGCTGGCTGTGCGTAGTTTTTGCAGCTGGTAGATGGATGCTGGGCATCAGGCAGAAGTACTTACCCTTTCTTCCAAATTGTTTCCTTAAAAAGTATCTTTAATTTTATCCCATCTAGGTAGATAGATGTACCTAATAATATTTCCTAAGCTCTTTTGTGACTGTTATATTATTGTGCACTTAAGTGTTTAATCTAACCATTAGTGTTATGTCTTAATTGTTGAAATACCATAATTGCCAACTATCTCTTGGTAATGCCTAGGGGAGACAACACCTTCTGTCACTCTTTTGAAATCCTGGCATTCCCAGTGTATTTTATTTATTTTGATGGCAAGACAGTGATGAAGACACTTCTGTGTGCTTAGTGTCAACACACTGATTTATTTCTTCTTTAATAGTTGAGTTATGCTAAGTGCCTTGGTGGACGTTTAGCTCTTTGCTGGTACAGAATGTATTTTAAATAATATGTGGAGAACGTTTTTATTACATGCGATGGTTTTCCATTGGTGGCAGATTGTAACTCATCCCAGTGTGTGACTGGGTAAACTGAGGTGAGCACTGGCGTTTTAAGTC